TCCTTATTCAAGAGATATTACTATCATGGCGGAAGATGACTATCCTGTTTAATGGCCGAAGCTGCCTCATTTTGACACAGTGTCACTATGTGTGTTTTAACACTCAATTTTAATGAGATTTTATTCCGATAGCGCGGCTTCATAAATAATTAATTAATGATAACATAAAATAGTCGAGAACTGATTTATCCTCTAGCTGCGTTGCTCCTAGGTAACTGCTTCTGTTTGACGAAGCTGATTGTCGATATACCAGTTAATCTTTAACATAGCTGTAGTTTATATCTTCGATATTTTCTTTTGCCCGTAACCACTGAATCGAAATGCATTTCTTTTCATGTCTTTAGATTCATTACCAGTTTTCAGGGCGATCATCTTATTTGTGTTAAACTTGTCGTGGGAAAAATGGTTTACATGCTTTAAGTCAATAGTAGCTTTGGTTTATTTTTCAATAGGACTATGCTAGCGGAATAGTACTTGATAATAACAGAAAACAGTAATATAGATAGAAAAAGTACCTTGGAATTCGGCCAGTAACAGATGATACACGTTTTAAATGCCCCTTCTGATGCCCTCTGCACTCCTATTGGACCAAATTGTCTCTGCTCTAACTTCCAACACCCGTAATACATGATATACTAGAGTTTGCGCCATTTTATTTGTGGTGCAGTATGTTTTGAGACCATTTTTCCCGTTGAGTTCCTAATACCAAGTAATTAATAGGCTTTAAACTTATTGTCATTCATATTGCCATATGTCTAAGATAACAACAAGATACTGTTAACCCTAACCTTCTGACAAACTCAGTAACTGCAAACCCTTAGCAGATCCCTTTCCCCAAACCCCATTTTATTTCCTCATTTCATTTTCAGTTTATTTCTTCACGTTTTTCTGCTTCTCTGTTCGTCTTTTTGTCGTTTTTTGGTATATGCCTGCATTTTTTCTATTCTGTTCTCCTTTTCATTTCTGGTCTTACCTCTTACGTATCATCAAAGTACACCTTTTGTAAAATCGCGCCCGTTTCTGTTGTATATTATAGTTTATTTAGTAAACGATTGATCTGGAAAAAATGACGAAATTAGTAAACTGAGGTGGTTATTCCAAGTTACTTTTATTTATTCATTGTTTGTAGAAAACTTACTTTAAAATGTTTCCTTCAGCATATTAAGACTTCGTTGAAAATACTCACGGCATAAAAACTGGAGAGAACTAAGGTTTCAGTGAGGCGCCTAGTCTCTGTCACCTGTTAACAACTCTACAGCGGAACGTAATAAGGGATTGTCAAGATGTAATTACAATAATCTTTTTCTCCTTGTCGGAAATTGCATACATTTCTCCATTTCTGTTAATAATGTAGGAGTTTGTTTGAATCAAAAGCGTTTGTTTCAACATTAAGATTGAATTCTCACTCTGAGTCGGTCGATAAATATTCTACATTCGATTTCGATTATCCCTTTCGTAGTTCAGTTTTTTTAATCTTTTTCTTATCTTTGTAAGGAGTGACAATAAAGGTCATGTCCACAGAGTAGTAGTTTGTCAGATTACTTATACCATGTTGTCTTGTCGACAGTATTCTACTATCAGAAGGAAACGGCTACTTTTAAACTATTGTATTCCTTGCAAGGTCATGGGCAACTTAGCGGTTCGTATGCACGGTTGGTCCCCATCGGTGGTATCTCGTGTCGGAGTTACCGTTGGACATGAATTTTATGCAGAAATTCTTCATAAGTAGTACTTTGTCGCATCATAAAAATCAATATGTGATGTTGACAAGGAAAAGAAGTCGAGTTTCATACTGCATTACAAGACTTTATTCCATTGCCTTTCCTTGCTTTCGCGGCAAATGAAAGCTTTTTCGCTATTGTCATTCTCACCTGGGGTGTCTGGGCAAAGCACTGAGTGCCGACATTAATTATGTCTGACGCTTTGGCTTCTCAGAATAGTTCAGGCGATGTTGATTGCTGCGACATGTAGCAGTTGCTTCAGGGTGTTATATTGGCCTCCGACGCGTTTGCGGTCAGTTTTCGCTTTCCAGAAGAGAATGGTTTTAGATAAGTCTCCATGCGTTCTCCGGATGGTTTCATCAGCCATGACAGCCGCTAGTCCCTGATTTCTTTAGACAGGATTCCCAGGTCGGTGGTCTTTAAAACCTATTTTATTCGTTATCTGATGGAACTGTCGCACTTCCAGTATGTTCCGCACGCAGCATTGCAGAAAAGTGTCCGACATCTTTTCATGGCGCTTCAAAGAGATAAGTATTTCAAGACCGCACATCAGGATTGAAAAAGCAACTGCTTTCAATATGATCTTTGTTGCTCTCCGGATAGATCGGTCTTGCAGCACTTTTGAAAGTTCACAGATCCAAGCCCTAAATGCCGCTTCACTTTCATATCACAGCTTCCATCTCTTGCCAGTACAGAGTCGATGAAGTTTTCAATCTCTTCGATGGTCATTCCACTTCATGGAATCTTTCAGTGGACGTCGAGTCACCTGCCCCCAGGGCTTTCGTTTTAATTGGGTTGACTTCTCTGCCTGCCATCGAGGCCACCTTCACACTTCTCGAGTTAGTGCGAGTAAGCTACTGGAGGAATCGCTCGGCAGTACAATGTTGCTCGCTGTTGCTGGAGACGACGCTCCTCTGCATCACGTAATCCATCACT